TCACTGGAGACATTGCCCGATGCCAATTTTGTAGGCATCGCCCAACCCTAATTTGAGCATTTGATTTCTCATTTGAGAAGCTATTTTGAGAGTTTGAACAAAACGACAAACATAGCATTTGTTTTGTGAGTGTTCAACCTTTTACCATGTTTTTTGCATCTGTCCTGGCAGACTTTGGCTAATCAGGTCCATTTAACATAGGACCTTTGACTCCTTGATGCATTTTATTTGCTTAAATGTGATTGTTTATCATTAATCTCAGTGCCAAGACAAAGTAGTTGTGGATTTCCAAGTTCCCAAGTTACATGCTCTATTGCAACTTGTTGTTCTGTTGCACTTTTCCAAGCAATAAATGTGAAATTCTGAGTTAAATGGAATTGAACGTATTTGGAGCAGTGAGATTTCCGACATAACAGAAATCCAAACGGAAACGCCAACAAAGTGTGTTATTGTACAAAAATTCAGCTTAACGTGGAAGATTTGTTGCGTCATGCCTGTTTATGCTGTCATACAGTGTTTGTTTTGAGTTCAAATCACATGGGCATTGTCATTCTGCTGTTTTATATTCAACGTTTGCATGCATATAACGAGAACATGTCTGCCTTGTTATTTATGCACCGTGTGTGTGTTTTCAGTGGGGATCATAAGGCATTCCTCTCCGTGTTGGCGGCGGTGTCTCTGGTTCTGATCTTTCTCCTGGTTCAGCGTCACTGCTCGCTGGTGTCTAAGATCGCTCTGGCTCTCGGCCTGCTCGGAGTTTACAGCTATCGTGCCGCCGTCGGAAATGTCCTGTTCCCATGGCAACACAGCAGCCGTGCCGTCTCCAAGTAAGTTTGATGATATTTAAATATCTTATTGGCATTCCTTAAATGTCAAATGGTGAATAAATTAGCTCCCCTCATTATCGTTGTTGTCCAATTGTCTGATGTTTCTTCACTAACTTTATGTCCGTGAGCTCCTCGCGTCGGAAACCTGCCTGTTGCTAAACGGGGGGATGGAGTGTTTTTCGAGGCTTCAATTCTGACTGCCATGAGTGGAGGTTTGTTAAAAGGAATAGTTCATCTAAAAATGAAAATTCAAACTGTTGATGGTAGCCTGTTGATTGACTTCCATAGTATGGAAAAAAATGCTATGGATGTCGATGGCTACCTTAAAATGTTTGGTCACCAACATTCTTCAAAATCTCTTCTTTTGTGTTCTACAGAAGAAAGAATCATTTCATTTTTGGGTAAACTATCCCTTTAACAGGAATTACCTCAATTTCCTCTGTCTTTGGCTTGAATGAGACCATGGATGCTTCGGTCCAGAAAGGACCCAGATCTTGACTGGTCTTTCACACACTGGACAAATCACGTCAGCACCCATCAGACTGACCCTTTTTACTGGTCTTATTGTCACTGATTCATCGGTGCATCAGACTATGGAAGTAAAGTCAGTTTCGAACACATTGTCTTGTGTAGATGGAGCATATTAGATCAGCTTTTGAGATAGTCGAGCTCCTCAGTGACAGAGCTATTGCTCTTTTAAAGTATAACAGTAGTAGTTTCTCTGTAATATGTTTTATAAACCATAAGCTAAGTGTGTCTGAATATGATTATATAGTTTAGAGGTCCTAAGCACAAAGGGGCAGATGTTACAGACCATAAATACATATTCAAAAACCTTGAAACTGTATTTATTTTGCATTTATACAATAGCCTTCAGAAGTTTAGGGTGACTAAGATACGTTTTTTTTTTATGTTTTGAAAAAAGTTTCTTTTGCTCACCAAGGATGCATTTATTTAATCAATAATACAGTAAAAAAAAAGTAGTATTATGAAATATTATTACAATTGAAAATAGTTTTTTTTTCTATTTGAATAGTTTTTTATGTACTTTATTCCTGTGATTTTCAGTATCATTACTCCAGTCTTCAGTGTCACACGATCCTTCAGAAATCCTTCTAATATTCTGATTTGCTGCTCAAGAAACATTTCTTATTATTATCAATGTTGAAAATAGTTGTGCTACTTCATATTTTGCCGGAAATAATTAGAAAATAAGTCTGAGAGCACTATTTTGTACTATACCAGTTCTTCACACACACTCATAAAAGTACAAAGTCTTTTCTGAGGCACACACACACACACAGTTCCAGCTTACTCCTGTGACAAAATATCGCTGTTCGCCTCTTCCCCTTGACATTTACTCCCACCTAATTAAATCTTTGACCTCCTGCCCTTGGTGTAGCGCCACAGGCTGTGTTCCATTACACACTCTCCATATGACAGAGGGAGCGCGAGCGTGAGGTAATTGGCAGTGCCACCCTGTGCCACCAGAGTCACTCTCACACTCATTAATCACTGCAGGACATTGTTTGTGTTGCCCTGGCAACCTCTGGCTCGCCTGTTTAACAGACTTCCACTGACTTCTGCCCCATCAGTTACACTCCCTCTCTCTCCTTCGTTTTCTGTCTTTATATTACACATTTTCTGCTTTTGACCCAAATTAATGTTTATTATAGTGCATTTAAAGGGGTTGTTCAGCTAAAAATGAAAATATAATTTACTCTCATGTCATTTCAAACCTGTATGAATTTTTGTCCTCTACAGAGAAAAATGCACTGGTTGATTTCTTTCCATGCAATTAAAATAAATAGGAACTGGGGGTTTCAAGTCCCAAACAAATTCCCATTTATTTAAATTGCCTTTCAAGTAGTAAGCACGTGTATCAGGGAAATCACAGCACTGATCAGTGTTGGGCAGTAACGCATTACTTAGTAACGCGTTTCTGTAATTTGATTACTTTTTTAGTAATGGAGTAATTTAACGTGTTATAATTTTCAAAATAGTAATTAGAGAATAGTTACAAGCCGAAGTCTCTATACGATTTGAAAAGGGAGAAAAAAAAAGTACAGCAAAAGGTGGGATCGAACCCGGGTCGATCGCGTCAATAAGCCAACAAGACACGCTTATCCATCTGCGCCACTGGAGTTGATGTTTTACAGCCACTTTTAACTAAATGTAAATAAACACCCCGTATTTTTTTATTCCAGAGTAAGGGCAATTCATACAATACATTTAAACTGAGCTACTTTAATACCATCTCCGAACTTTCTACCACGACTCTGCTGTTCTTCGGCTGGTTCTTCCTGTATACGTTGATTGACAGATGTCTCGTCCAGTCAGCGGTGAGTAATCCCAAACCAATGGTGCTGTCTCAAACTATACCTACCTCTTCCTGTTTGTCTGATTTGTCGTTGTGTTTTCTGACTTGTTATTTTGTTTTCGAATTTGTCATTGTGTTTTCTGACTTGTTATAATGTTTTCTGAATTGTTGTTGTGCTTTCTGAATTGTTATTTAGTTTTTTAGACTTGCATTTGCGTTTGTAATTTGTTATTTTGTTTTCAGAATTGTGATCTGCTTTGCACTTCTAGGCCACCGTACCTTTGCCTAAGATCACGCAATCACACATGACCCAATGAACAAGCAAAAACTGTCCATGACAGCTGATTCAATTCTTCTTCTGTGTGCTGTTGTGTATGTGAGTGTGATCTAGCCATTAGCACAGTTAATACCTTTCTGAATAGATATGTAAATCACAGATGTTTCACGCTGCTCTTAGAAACGTAAACAACCTCAAGTCTGTTTTGCATCTGATTTATTCGTGTTAGAAGACCAAAACAAGAATTATTGCACCACATGCATGAAACAAGCTACTGAACAACTCGGTGTGTGGTATTTAGTCCATTCGAAATGTGTTTCTTCATGTAAACAAGAAGTATAAATAGCTTTTCTGAGTTCATAAGCATATTTTTAGCATGTACACAGCATAATTATGTTAGACAGCATCACATCTGTTACAGACCAGCCAATCCCAGAATGCAATGCAACAAGGTCAGTGAAAAATGGTACAAATCTAAGCTTAATTTTGAGCTCATTGTTGTGTGGTTTCGCTTTTTTGAAACAATGTTCTGCCTTTGATTAAAATTTTTTATAAATTAAACCAAAGCGCAGTCGACTGTAGTGGAGAAAAACCACAAACACACAAAAGTCGAGATGCTTTTTTTAAAATCAGAGTTTACGCTCAAAGCCGTTTACGGGGGAAATGATTGTTGTCAGAGAAAGCTGAGCGCAAAAGAAATAAACAGGCATTTTGGCAGAGACACAAATTTTGTAGTATTTGAGTGGCGTGTGGAAAATGAAGGTGTGGGGGAGCGTCTGAGTTCAGTAGTGACAGTATGAGATATCAGCTGAAGTGAACATCATAAACTGTGTTGTCTGAAAAGCATCTTACATTCAGAATATAGAATCTCCACAGTCGTACGACTTCAACAAAGCCCGTGTTTACCGTCAGAGAGGAAAACATGATTTCCAAAATCACTTCTCAAGGGACGGAGGAAATATTTTGAGCTGTTACAGGTCTGGTGAAATCATAGCGCTTTGAGCATTAAAGCTTAAGAGAACAAGCCAGAGAAATGAGCTGAAGCGCAGCCAGTTCCTGCAATAAATAATAAGGAAAAACAAAAGGAAAAAATTCAAATACATTTTCTTCAGGCAGGGCAGATGTACTCGCTGAAAAGAAAACATATCCAAGTAGTAACTCCACAGTTGATTACTGGTTGATGAATTTTTCTGTTGACTTCATGTTCAGTAGCTCACGTGTGACTGATGGGACTTTTTCTGTACTCTTTTTTTGTTGTTGTTGTAATATATACTAGGTTTGTGCCCTTGAAAAGGGAATGATTATTTATGTATGTATGTATTTATTTATTTATTTTAATTAGTCTCTCTCTATACACACACACACACACACACACACACACACACAGGCAATTAAAAGTTTGGAATATTTACGATGTGTAAAGTTTTTGAAAGAAGTCTCTGATGCTCACCAAGACTGTATTTATTTGATCAAAAATACAGTAAAAACAGTAATGTTTTCGATTTAATTATATATTTTAAAATGTAACTTATTCCTGTGATGGCACAGCTGAATTTTCTATTATGTAATATAATCTATTATTCTGATTTGCTGCTCAAGAAACATTTCCTGTTATTATCAATTCTGAAAACAGTTGTGTTTCAGTGTTAAAAACAATGTTCTTAAGGAAACATTGAAACCTTAATACATTTTTTGTCAGTATTTTTATTTCAATATATTTATTTATTCGCTTAAATACTTATTTATTTATTGAATGGAAAGTTCAAAAGAAAAGCATTTATTTGAAACAGAACTTTGTAAATGTCTTTACAGCTTCCTGTTTCCATCAGAAACCAAAACTTTGAACGATGTTCACGAACACTGTGAAGTGTGGTATTTATTCTCTTTACCATGCAGTGTGAAGGATTTCACTCAGTTCACTGAGCATTCTGATTCTATTTTAGCAAGTGAAGAACAATTTTTTACTCACGTGTGTTAAGTATTAGGTACGTTACGGTGTCTAACAGACAGCATGTTGAAGCCGCTCAGGCTGACATTTTTCCTTCTTCTCAGAAAGCAATGACGTAGTCAATATATCCAGTGGTGTGGGTTTTTCAGGAAATGTGCGTGCTTGTATTGTGTACTTTGTATTGCGCATGTTATTTTTTGACATGCATCGATGTTGAAATATTTAAATGATGTGGATTTGAAAAAAACACAATTTATTTATTAGCCGGCGAGTACTCAGTGAAGTGATTGATGCCCATAAATTGTTTTGTCAGTGGTTTTACTACTGATATTCCTACCGGCAGCCAGACTACATTTTTGACGGGCATGATAACATGCATAAGGGGTGAACTGTGTTTGATTTTTGGGTATTATAAAACATACTGGAGGCATTCAAAATGGTTTTTGGATATAGTG